ATTATTATTATTATTAATAAGCGTATTTTTTATTTTTTAAAAGAAAAAAAATTTTTTTTTTTTTGTTGTCAATTTCAAATACCTGCTGATTATATTTTTTCGATACACACAGTAGAAAATAAATTAATTACGTTAAATAAAAAAAAAAAAAAAAAAATCGAGTGTAAAAAAAAAAAATTTTAAAGCAAAATTAATTTTTTGGCTTAATTATTTAAAATAAAATCAACAACAACAACAACGACAACAACGAAAAAAAAATTCAATTTAAAAATTATATAATAAAAAATTACACCCGTCAGAAAATGTCAAAAACTATTATTATCCTTACTATTATTATTATTATTATTCCAACAAGCTCATAATTATTTATATATATATTTTAATCGGTTAGCATTTTTTTTTTAAACAAAGCATATCAATTTAATCACATCGAATTCTCTAAAATTTCCTTTTCAAAATTATTATTATTATTATTTTTCCTCTCTCTTAATATATTAAACCTATAACAAACTCAATAAAATTCTTGCCTTTTTCTATTATCAATTATTTTTTTAAAAATATTATCTATTGCAAACCTTTTGGCATTTCAACTAATTTTATTTTTTTTTAAATATTCAACAACAACCAAAAAAAACGGTGAATTCTTATACATATATATATAGCTGATAGAGTGCCTAATTAAATGCTCTTTTAATTAATTACTATTATTATTATTATATTGTCAAAGCTATTTTGTGCACGCAGTTTGTTATTAATTATAAATAAAAAAAAAATTATTTTAACAATTTATACAATTAAGAGATTAAAATACATTTATTACTTTTACAAAATAAATAAAAAAAAAAAAAAAAAACGATTGAGAGAGCTAAGCTTTTAGGCACCTTAAAAACGTGATACACAACAACAAAAAACAAATTTGGGTACTGATATTCCTTTGATTCACTGGACAACACAATTACGATTCCTTTGCATCATGCTGGCACGAGTTATGTCACGTTGAATTTCGTGATCGTCTTCGATTCTACAAAAACCAAAAGAAAAAGGGTAGAAATGAGTAAAAAAAAAAAAAAAAAAAATTAAATTAATTTAATTAATAAGTTAACGGTAATGCTAACGCTTTTTCTTGCGAATCCAAATGGTGAACAAGTTCATCACGTTTGTTAACAATTGAAACCAATTCGTCCAATAAAAGAGCTTCCCGGACTTTTTGTTCTTCGGTTTTTTGCCAATCCTCGAGTGATAAAATACAACGAAGTTCTCGATTTAACAATTCGAATCTTCTTTCCAAATTTTCTTCTTTTTCTCTAAAAATTTACAAACGAGTAATTTTAATTTTATATCTTAATAATAATAATAAAAATTTGAAATTTGCAAAAAAAAAAAAAAAAAAAAAAAAAAAAGGTATAATTCTTACAAAATGTTTAATTGCATTTGTCTTCGGAGTAATGCATTTTTTTTATTAACTAAAGTAAACCAATTTGTCATCATTATTTCTTCTTGTTCGCTGTTGTTACCAGATTCCATGACCTTTCTTAATTCTTTTTCTAAAAGGGCAGCTTGTTTATCGATTTGTTTTTGTTCTCTTTCGAGTGCTTCCAATTCATTTTGTATGTAATTCCCTATTTCCTTGCCATACTAAACAATGACGGACAAAAGTTATATAGTTCCTCCTGCTATAGTCTTAGAAAAACAGGCATAATGACAGGTACCAATACTCACTTCGTTTTCTTTATCCGGTGAGATTCTATCCTTCGTCAAATAATCTTCGTCGGGAGAATTAATTTTTTGCTGGACGGATCCCTTTTGATTGTAACCATTCCAAGACCAAATATTACCATTTGTTTCACCCTAAATAATAATAATAATAATAATTTTCAATATGATGAAATGAGATAATGAAACAATTTAACCGCGATCGGTACCTTAAGACTATTTTCAGACGGCGAAGGAGATTTTTTATCAGGAGATTCTCTTTTACCAATTAAATTTTCTTCGGATAATGGCGACCTTATTTTTATAACTAGTGGATTGGGAGATGTGGGTGACACGACGCCCATTCGAGCTTCAGCAATTAATTTTCGGGCTCTCTCTCGAAGTTGTTGCTGTCGTTCCTCTTCATCCTGTCCGGGATAAATTAATTTTTTTTTTTTTAAATTATCAACTGACATTTTTATTAATGGTAAGCTTTAGGAGAAGATGACGGAATGGGGGAAAAAAAAAAAAAAAAAAAAAAGTGTAAGAAATTTTTAATAATAATCACGCGTACCTTTAATGGAGTAAGAGATTGCGATTGTGTAAAATTCCCTCTGGATGCAGCTTCTTTTTTAGCTTGTTCCAATAATTGTCTTGCTCTTTCTCTCAATTCATTGTGTCGGGATAAAGTGCGCTAATTAAAAATTTAAAACCACTCATAAAAAACAAAAAAAAACCAAAAACCAAAATTTCAAATAAATAAATCAATAATTAATTAATAAAACCATGCATTAATTAAATAAAAAAAAAATTTTGTGACATCAGAAAAGTGAGAAAAAAAATAAAAATTTAAACAAATAATTTAAATTATTATTATTATTTACATTGATTGTGATAAGTTATTAATTATTTTAGTTTAATTTTGAAATCTTTTTTTAAATAGAAATTAAACAAGCAAAATTTTTTTTTTTTTATTTTTTTTTTTTGTTGATAAGATTTAAAAAAAAAAAAAAAAAAAGAGATCAATAAGAGACACATAAGAGTGCATAATTAAATAAATAATATTAATAAAAAAATTTTTTACTCACGTTTTGATTACGACTAGGAATTTCATTACTGGGTGAATTAAGAAGTTTATTTTCATACTCGTGAAACTGTTTGGGACGATTCAATTCCTGTAAAATTAACATAAATAATTTTATAAAACATAAAATAATAATTTATTAAAGTTCGAAGAAGAAAAACGTACCGAATCTACCGAGTAAGATATAGGAATCGATGAATGATTCGTTTTAAATTTTTTTTCTTCGGTTGAATTAATTACATTTACATCTTGAGCCGTCATTTCATCTTCTTCATCAGAACCAAAAGGATCAGAATATTGCCTTCTCGTCATTAAAATTGGACGTGATGATTTAACAGGAGGAGACTTACTCTAACGACGTATAAAAAAACATAAGAATTTGAAGTATAAATAATATTTTTTTTTTCCTTTTTTTTTTTTAAAATTTTACCTTGTCCCTATTAAAGGTAACTTTATCTTTTGTCGGTGAAAGAACTTTTTCTAATATACTTTTAGATGATGCCAAAATTTTATCTTTGACTTCTTTAACGGACGTCGGTGAACGTTCTTTACTTTCGTGTCTACTATTATCACCCTCAAAATCCCCGACAGAATCCTGATTAGAAAGTAATGGCAGTCTCAATTTTAATATTGAATTCTGACGAGAATTTACTTGAGCTTGAGGTTCATTTTCAATTGATTTTTCTGTATTTTTTACACTGTCAACAGAACTCGACCTGAAATTTATTTTAGTTTTAGATCTTTTATGATTTTCAACAGATTACAAAGTAAAATATATTTTTAAGAAAATTGCATAACAAAGTTCTTAACATTATATTATTGATTTAAATGACCTTTACCTTTCTTCTAAAGCTTTATTGAAATCTCCACTTTCTCGCTTTCTTAAATTCATTATTTCTTGACCGAAAAATTCAATGGCAACATCAGAATTATCAGAATTAAAACGTCCAACCATGTACGATGACTCGTCGGTTGTTTTTCCAATTTGTTTAACTTCTAGCTCGTGACCTGTCAAATTGAACGTGTAAAGCCAATTATTACTTACACAAAGCAAACAATTTAATTTTAATCAAATAAATTTAATTATGAAGAAATTTATATGTGTAACCTGTGAAATGAGCTCTTAGTTGGTATAGATAAGTCATAACAGCAAGTTTGTCTGGTACTGTTAACACATCCATGGCAGCCGGTTCAATAATTCTTGAAATACCTAAAACTTCACCAGCATCAAATGCTTTTTTACAATTACCCTTTATATCGTGTGAAAGCAAAGAATCATAGTCTCTGTAAAAAATATTATTATTAAAAATAAAATTAAAAACATTTAATAATTAAATATTGAAGTTATATAATGAACGGACATTAAATCGGGACGAAAATGATGAATCACAGCACAAAAAGCCATTCCATTTCTCCAAGAGGTTGTTAAATTGGTAACTTTAACTCCATTATAACCTTTAGTAACCTCTTTGCACCATTCGAGCAAATCTAATCCAGGAGTACTTTCCATTGGCCTCGTTTTAGTGTTAACCTAAATTTAAAATTTAAATTTACAATAATTTTTCTATATAAAATGAAAAATTTTATTAAAATTTGTTATTAAAAACGTACCTGATTAAAATTTAATGGTTGTAATTTTAATCTCACATTCTTCTGATCTTTATTTTCTGAAGGATCCCTGCAAAATGACAAAAATACATTTACATAATTATTTTATTTAAAAAATACATATATAAATTTTAAATTTATTATTTATCACTTACCGAGTTTTATCTTCATTGTCCTTTTCTTCGTTAATTACATTTGATGACGAATGAATTTCGTTAAAGTTTGAATTGACATTTGTCAAAACTTCATTAAAAGGTTGAGTTAAAATTGTTTTAAACTCGTCAGCAATCGGTGTGGGATCATCTTTCTGAAGAGAAGGAACACTTGCAACTAAAATAAATAAAATTATAAAACAAAAAATACTTAAGTAAAAGGAGTAAAGAATAAATTTTTTAAATAAATATGAGTCTTGAAAGAGTTACAAGTACTTACCACTTATAGGAGTACTAGCAAATTCTGAATCACTCAAACTATTTGTTAGATATTCAATATGGGATGATAAGTCTAATATTTCATTTTTGAGTGAAACATCAACATCAACATCAATATCTTCTTCATCAAAATCTTCTAAAGGAGCAATATCACTGTTATTATTTGCACTAAGTAAGCTAGCCATACTTTGCATGTCTTCATCCCTATAAAAAATTTTTTAAATGAAAAATTAAAAAAACTAATAATCATGTAATTATCACACAACAAAATTATAAAAACAATAAAAAAGAATAAAATTAAATTTTAAATTTAAAAATTTTTACTTACGTAGCTTTTCCTTCTCTCAAAAAAACACAACTTAAAGTGCATTCTAATGAAGCAAATACAATTTTTTTTGTCATAGGTTTTAAAGTCAAATTGAGCTGAACCTGACTAGATTCAACACTGGCATATTTTTTCATATTGATATTGGTTGCTGCAATTTGTCGCCTTTTCCCAGTTACTGAAACCTGTAAATATAATTTTAAATTTTTTTATAAAATAATTTTTTACGAATAAAAAAAAAAAAAGGTACAAATGAATTTTATTAAAATAATATAAAAATTTTTTTTATACACATATATTAACTTACATCTTCCAATATAAATGTCCAGTCTTTGTCTTCTAACTCCTGAGTTCTTTGGTCTTTGAATAAAGTTACAGATACTTCTTTATTCTCAGGTACAGCCCAAACAACTATACCACGAAGAGGATCTTTTAATGTTGGTTCCCATGGTAGAGGATCTGTAACAACTCTTCGAGATCTTCTAGTCCATACTACAGATAACTTATTTGGTTTCCTGTAATTAATAATAGTTAATAATTATAAAAAATTACATAAAATATTTTTAAATTAAAAATTATTGTTAGTTTTAATCACCATTTAGATGTTGTTTCTAAAAGCAATTGATGATAAGAAACTGTAAATTGAAATTTTGCAGCTCTTTTATTAACTCTTTGCAGTCTTTTCCACACTGAACCCATTGTTTACTTCAGAAAAAAATATTACAATAAAAAGTAATTCTTTGTAGCATTTTACAAAATCAACTAAAAATAAAAATAAATAAAAAAAATAAAAAAAAGTTTTTTAAATTTCATGCAAATCATAACACAGTGTAAAAGTTGTTTTTAATTCAATTTAATGATAAATAATGAATCATAAGTTATTTTTTTTTTTATGAATAAAAAATATCATAATTTTATTTAAAAATATAAAAAAAATTTAAAAAAATAAATTTTGTAATACAAATTCAAATATATTTGCCTTAAAATTTTACACAATAAACCAAAATAATATTAAATAATAATAATAAATAATAATTCCATTTAAATATCGGAATTTATAGCCTAATAATATGTCAAAGCACTAAAGGTCATTTACAAAAAAAAAAAAAAAAAAAAAAATTTTTTTTTTTTTTTTTTTTTTTAAATTAAAATACTTACTAAATTGCAATCATGGCATTTTTTAATTTAAAAACTAATTAATAATAAAGTCATATTGCTTTTAAAATCTCACTTAAGAAACTGAAAGTAAAATATTATTTACTTGAAATAACAACGAACATAAATAGAATAAAATTTGTATGGGGTCAAAGAGTAAATAAACAATTAGACAAAAGCAAAAAAATTTTTTCCTTTTTAAATAAATTTATATAAAATCATCGAAATTTCATCATTATTATTTTTTTTTTTTTTTTAATATAAATTTTAACAAATTTTAAAAAAAAATATATGTTTATATACATATAAATAAATATTAAACGATAACTTTTTATAAAATGCAATATTGCATAATTTTTTTTGTTAAAAATAAATACTATGAAAAATGGCGTAATAAGAGACCAATGCTACTTAATTTATTATCTTATTACAAACTTGAAAAATAATAATAAAAGTTAAATTTAAAAAACGTTTCAGCTTTTATATTTTCGATAACGCGAAAAAAAAAAAAAAAAAAAAAAAACAATTTCATTTATGAAAGAGACAATTAGAGACAGACGACTATTTTCATTCGGAGTTAACGTTTTTTTTTTTTTTTTTCTACTTAAAAAACAATAGGAATAATTAAGACTCATTATTATTATTATTATTATTATTTTAGAATTTTGCAATGATATGGTCATTTCCTGTTGAGCTAATCTTAAGCTATATTATCATGTAAGCCTTCAACGTGATTACGACTTATTTGTTCATAGTAAAATTAAAACAGTCTGCGCATCACGTATTTAACTTTACAAAAAAAAAAAAAAAAAATTATTCTCTAATATTAACTTAAATATATGTATAAATATTCTTTTAAAAAAATATTTCTCTTACGAAATTTTCGTTTAAAAACAAATTATAATCAGAATATGCATTATTAGTAACTTGGTTTACTATCTGACTACTACTACTTTGTCCCTATTGTTAATGATTGTGATAAAATTTTAAAAACTTTATTCCCTGGGCATTTATTTGCATAAATAAATATTTAAATTCTTGCATATTTAATAGTAATTAAAATACTATTATTTTTTTTTTTTTTACGTGAACGTAATCACGATTTCTAGTATTTTCTTTTTTCGTTGTTTTCAAAGCCTATAAATTGTGATAACACTATCAAAAAAATTTTTTAAGGGTGTTTTCATTAAACAATTCACGTGACAATTGGACTTTATTACTTTAATTTTAATTAATTAATAAAAAAATAACAAATATGTATATATTTGTCAATTAAAAATAATTAATCCGAATCTAATCGATAAAAACTATATAATAATTTTATACTTGTTTATTTTTTCTGAAAATTAATTTCATTCCTACAAATACCAAAAAAAAAATTCCATAAAATAGGATATATATTTTTTAAAAAGATTCTTCTTGTGTAACTTTTAATTGAGCAATTAATAAATTTAAACTGTTTGTTTGTAAAAATTAAAAACTGTAATCAAAACAAACCAAAACCACGAGGCAGATTTTAGCTCTTGACAAAAAATCACAGTTATTATTATTATTATTATTATTATTATTTTAAAATTAACATTGCCTTAAAACTAACCGAAATAATAAGAGATTCGGAGCAGTCAACAATTTTATTTTTCATCAAAACAAAGCCTCCTTATTAAAATTGAAACAAATATTTAATACAAATAATATAAAAAGCGTATAAAAAAAAAAAGACTTAAAAAAAATATCAATAAAAGGCAGTAGAAATAATAAACTGAACAATCAATCAATCAATCAATTAAATCAACGTATAAAATTTGCCTTTGAATTTTTAAAAAGCAAATTAACAAAAAAAAACTAAAAAACTAAAATTTTACTATAAAAAAAAAATGAATTATTTTCTTTTCGTTAAATTCATTTAATCTAAAACGTGCAATATTCATATATCGTCGTCATATCATACTTAAAATTACTTTATTCTTAAATTGTGACCATATTATCAAATACTTTTTTTAAATTCAAGGGTTCCATTTTTGTTTTGCCTTTATCTCTCAACGATCGTTTAATAAATTTTTCAACTTAAACAAATTAAATTCAATTTCTGAATTTCCAGCCAATACGTTTTCAAACGATTTTCTTATTTCTGACAAATCAGGAAGTTTCGAACAAGATTCCACGTTTAGTAGTGCGTTAAAAAATTTTTGCCATTCATTTTTAGCCCAATACCTGAAATAAATTAATAACCAATTTATAGGATAAAAAAAAAAAAGCTATCGAAAAAAAAACTTGATAAAAAAAATAAAAGTAATTTTTACCTGGGAATAATTTTACCAATGCTCCAGATTCCATTTCTTTGATTTACTTTCATGTAGTCACCGAATAATAAACAATGACCGCAATTGGCAGCTCCATATAAATCTATTTGATATGTCCAGGGTTTACCCGATTTCATTTCGATTGTCGTGAAACCTTCTGTCGTCACAACCCTTGTAAACGTGGTATCTTCAGGAAATAGAGTCATGTCTATACTTCTCCCAAAATCAATCAACTGTAGTTGAAGCTTATCATTACTGTTAAAAAGAAAATTAATGTTTTCATTATTAAAAAATCTTTAGTAAAAAAAAAAAATTTAGTTTTTATCGAATCTTGTACTAATTTTTATATTGATTTCCTTACCTATTTCGTAGTAAAAAATTATCGGGTTTTACATCAGCGTGAATGATTTTACACGAGTGTAAAATTTCCAATATTTTTAATATCTGACACGTGAAATGCATGGCTAAAAGCTGACAAGTCATTTTTGCCTAATAAAAAGAAAATAATCAATAACAAAATGATTAGTCTGAATAAAATTAAACGTAGGGCCGTTGTTAGCATTAAGAGTAGTAGTACCTGTTTAATTTTATTGATAACTGATAATAAATCACCGTACTCGACGGGAACGCTTAGCAAAACGCTACAATTTTTAAAAATGTAAGCCTGATCAATATTCATAAACATAGAAACCTGAAAATAATTCATGATAAAATTAATAAATAATAAAAAGAAAAATATAAGTAGGAGGTAAAAAAACTTACCATGTTGTCATTTCGAACTCTGCTAATAACTTCCCTCGCAATGTAAAACTCCCATGGAAAAGGTGGTTTTTGATATTTGGCAATCATTGACTCTCCCGTCATTACGTTAAAAAGTTTATAAATTTTTGCGTAGGCTCCCTCTCCCAAAATTTTTTTTACGTCGTAGGTAAAAGCTCCTAAATTTATAAAAAATTTTTTTATAATAAGGGTTCGATTAATTTAAAAGCATGTAAAATCTAACATTTTCCCTCACCCAGGGTAATAGACGAGCCAACTTTAAGATTAGGCAAGTCGATATCGTGCAAAAGGAAATAGCCAGGAGTGTGTATGCTCTTGGGAAAATCAACCTTTTGAAGCAGTCTTTCAATAAGTTGTTCGCAAAATGGATCTATTGTTTCTTTCATCTCCGATTTCGTACTTATTTCCGTCCCTTGAATTTCAATTTCCGACATTTTAACTTCGATGCACTCCATTTTTTTCTCCTGCAATAATTATATATATATTAATTTTTTTGTTATCTCATTTAAAAATTAAATACTTTTTTCAAATTTTTCAACTTGCTTCTTTTTCATTATAAATATTAATTGAAGTATTTTCGATTGTATTTAATTTCGTCATAAGATTATAAGTAGAATTCAATACGTCTTTATGGGTTTTCGGAGTTTTAGCAACAATTTGACTGGATTCACTGGAAGCTTCGTAACCCGTAGTATAGCTTTGAACTTTAGTTTTCTGAAGATTTGTGTGAGATCCCGTTAAATTGATTTTTGAATTTTTCGTTTCCGAGGGAGTATACGGGAAATGTTTAGATGATCGAAAACCTATGGTGCTGGCACCGCTGCTCGCAGAACTGCTAGATCTGTATTCCCTCGAAGTTTCGACAATTACGCTCAAGTTTTTATTTGCGACTTCTCCATCTGAATGTTTTTTGTTATCATTCACGAGTCCAATTTTTAAATTTTCACTTTGATCGTTTAATTCAAATTCCTCTTTGTTGTTTTGTTCTTTGGCATTGTCAATTTTCGGCGCGGGAAGTAAAATCGAACTGAAAAAAAAAAAAAATACCAATGTTTACTGTTTAAATTTTGAATCGATTTAAAAATCTAGTACACAAATGTAAAATATATTTCTTACTCTTCCGAATCAATTTTGTTTCGCGATAATTTTCTAACGTTGGGCGTTGATTCATTGCGAGGAAATTGAAAACCTTTAGTAAAATTCCAAGTTTCAGTTATGGCAGTAGTATTACACTGAATAATTGAAGATAAATCTTGAGCTGGAATTCCTCCTTCAATTTCTTCTTCATCGTCATCTTCATTTATTTCAATCTAACCCCCAAGATAAATTATTATTTATTTATTTACCATTTACAAGTTTGATAAAATTTTAAATTCAATAAAAAAAATAATTTTTTTAAAAATTAAAGTGTGTAATTAAAACTTACCATTGCGTACCATCAACAAAAAAAAAAACAAAAAAACAGAAAATTCATTTGAACGATGAAGAGGAAACTTAGCGTACAGTAAATAAACTACAAAATTACATTCGAAACCAAATCTATAAAAGCCATTTACAAAGCAACAATCACGTTTTTTTTATGCAAAATGTAAAAACAACTATTTTTACCTAATACGAAGCCAAAGTATGAAAAAAATTAAACATGCACTCATGCATATAGAAAATTGTCAGAGCTTTGAACCATGATTTTCTTTAAAACAAAAAAAGTTTAATTTTTAAAAAATGAACAATTATAAATTTTAAATTTCCAACTCCTCAAAATATCAAAGAAAAAAAAATTTAAGGTATGAGACTTGATAATATTTCTAAGAGCTATTAAATAAATACCTTACATATGAATTCATTTATACTAAAATAAAAATATTAAAATAATTAACATTTCCCTCAATTTACTAAATGTTATGCAAGTGATTAACGGCATTATCCTAAAATTGTAAAACTTTAAAAATTGAATTACCTATCAGCTATTGTAATTTACTGGAAATAGAAAATAAAGCTCAAAGTTCTGATTCTAATAAAACTAAAAAAATATTCAAAATTTCAGGAAATTCCCTTTAATAAGATTTTTTTTTTTATTAAATTACCTCTTCATCGCTCAATTGGGCGATTTCAATATTTTCAGCAGGAGTTAAAATTCCGCTTACTTTACGATTTGATTTTCCTACGGGACCACAATAATCAGGAGGCACACCATTTTCCTTGTCTTCATCACTCTCTCCTTCGCATATCGTTTTTACCGGCAAGAAATTTTCATTTACAAAACAATTTTCCTTATCAACATCTTCTAATTTGTCGATCAAATTACTCGTTGGAATGTTTGAATTTGGAACATTTGATAATTTTTGATTTGAACTTTCTTTCTCACTGCAATCAGCATCTTGCGATTTAAGTGTTAAATCTAAAGGTTTATCATCGTCTGAAGTTTTTGGAGTGACTAAGCATGATTCGTCCACGTAAAGATTAAAACACGGCTTGCTAGGTTTTAAAATAGACTTTGCTGCAGGTTTAGGTTTACTAATAAGTGGGACTGGCGAGGCAGGTTTTGAAAACCATAGTTGTTGCATCTCACTTAAAGCTTCTTTCGTGTGAATTGTTTGATTCATTGAATAATCAACATTGGGTAAATTTTCCTAAAAATTAGTTCAATTTTTTTTTTTTAATATTCAAAATTTATCGATTAGCAAGCAAGTGAAACAAAAGTCTTACTTCAGGTACAACTGCACTTAAAGGATTGTTATTTAAAAATTTTCTTTGATTTTCATGTTTTATCGGTTCCTTTTCTTCAGTAAGTTCTCCTAATTTTTTCCTCTTTTTATCAGCTGTACATTTGCCACGCAGATTGTTATTATTAGAAGGAGTGCGCGGCAAATTGTTGGGTACAAGGGGTTGTGATGTCAACTGATTTACACCATTATTTTCTGTTTTTAAACTAAGTTCTTCTTGTTTTTTTCTTCTATATTGAATAGCACGAAGTTCTTCAAATTGAAATTCTAATCCTCCAGCGTAAACCTGAAAGTAGAAAAAAATTTAAAACATTAACAAAACTTTAAGCAAACAAATAACGTCATAACAAAAAAGGTCTTACCTGTTCTTTACAGTACATTGGTAACTTATTTGGATCAAATGGTTCCAAATAAAACAAGGGTGCATTTTTGAAGTTGTCATCCTCGTAAGTTGACTTCACAACTTTATGAGATTTCAATACAGAAGAAGGAACTGTTTTACTTTTTCGATTTGACTCTTCAGTCTCTTCATCCCTGTGAACTTTAAAAAATATTTACATTAACATATTATTTTAGGAAATAGTCCTTTTTCCTATTTTCCAATAAATACCTTGAAAAGGAAGAGTAGGAGGAGCATCCACTGTAAAAGGAGCGTTTTTATTTTTTTTATTATTCCATGTTCCCGGTTTTACAGTATTTTCCTTGGTTAATATTTTTCTACTGGGCACTTTTTCTAATTTAGCTTTTGGTTCAGATGATACAAAACTCTCTTCAGCGTCCTTAAAATAAAATCAAAAAATGTTAGGAAAAAATCACTTATTTTTATTGAGGATACTAATAAAAGTTTGCTTATATTTATTTATTATTAGTAACCAATAATAAACCATTTATATTTGTTAAAACAGAAAAATTTAATAATATTTATATTCAATTAAAATAAAAAAAATAATGTGCTGAGTACATGTCAAATTGTAGACACACCTAATGAACATATAAAATAAAAATTTATAAGCATACCTCAAAAACTTTTATAACTGCATTATTTTTGATTTTAGGATCTTTTTGATTTACTTTCGCTAATTTTCCAGCCGCTCCAATAACATTAGATCCAATACGTACATTGGGAGCTAATTCTTTTTTCCCAGCATTTATAGGTTGCAATATATTATAAGGCTGTCTAGTTTCAGAAGTACCTGATTCCAATACAGTTGGTTGAAAAATTTCTCTTTCATTTAACATTTTACGAACCAAAAATGCTTGAAAATTCCTATTATTAAATCACGATCATTTTAAAAATTGGAAATATTTCAAAATAAAATTTGAATTTCTTAGCCTACTCACTGATAAGCATCTTTCAGAAGATCAATAGGTTGTGCAGATGATTGTAATCCTCTTTCATATACAGCATTTGCTTTTTTAAAACAGTTATCCACAGCATACTTTTCAGCCCATGCAATGTAAAGCTCCGCACAAGATACACCTATACCATGTCTATGTATTTGACTCAATAACTCGACAGTATTATCTTCCAGGTCAGCCTAGAAAGATATTTTTAAAAAATTTTAAAACTTAACTAACTCTTAAATTTTTGGAATTAGTAAGAAAAGAAAATAAATATATAAAGTTAAATAAGATTTCACTAACATATTTAATGCATAATCGAACAAATCTTATGTCATTCATATACTGCTCATTATCTTTGAATTTGTTTAGGCATTTTTGTAAAACAACATGTAGTTTCCCTTCTCGACCCTGTTTTGGAAAACTCTGTTCAATCCAGTATATATAACTGCACCAGTCTGATAATGGGTCTTCACTACAACTGTTTCTTAACCTGATTTCATATTCGCTGAAGTAATAACACAAATTTAAAATATGATTATAACCACTTAATAAATTTACTCATAATAAAAATTGTTAATAATTTTAAGGAGAAATAGAAACAATAAAAATTAAAAACTCACTTTCTTTGCCTTTCTAGTTCCTGCTGCAATTCAGTATCTGTTTCAGCTTGTAAAGCCGCACATAAGATAGTAGTATCTCTTCCTTTCCGTAAAGGCTGAATATTTTCTTTTGAAGAAATCAAATCGTGACTATCAATAGTATTAAAACTATTCATTTTTCATTTTTTTATAATATTTCACTAATAAAAAATTACATTGAATGATAAAATTAATATAAAATTATTTCTGAGCAAGTTTCAATCTGACGCTAACGCTTTTTAACGGTTTTGTTTTTTACCCGCAAAAGTAATACCAACATTAAAACGACTTGTTAAAATTTGTCAACTTGCATCATTTAAAAAACATATTTTTAACAATAAATTAACAAAATTTTAAATTAAAATAATAAATAAAACGAAATGTTTTTAAATCTATATTAATTTAATTAATATTTATAAGAAATGAAAATTATTATTAAAAAAAAAACTTACTTTAATATTTTGTTACTTATGTTGGCTATACTATGACAACGATGTAAACAAAATTAACAATTTTAAATATTTAAGTTAACATAATTTAATTAAAATGTTGTCTCTTGATAAAGATCACGAGTTAGTAAAAGTGTTTTTAAAATCTTTAAATTTTCAATTTTCAGATAAATGGATTGTTGATTGTGTAAATAGTTGCAAAGCGACTAATAAAAATATTTCATTAGAGTTATTAAAAAATACAGTAAAAGAAAAATGGTTATCTGTTAATTTAAGAGACTTTAAAATACCTACATTACCACAAAATCTAAATTTTCATCATAAAACAATTTTGAAAGAAAAATACGTAGTCCAAGTAGAAAGTATGATTGATTGTTGTAAGCCGTACTACTCTCAACTACTGAGCATTCAAAATGTCAATATTGAAGACGCTGAAAATAAAGAGTGGAAAAAAAGTGAATATAAAAGATGCCTTTCATTAGTTGTTAGTGATGGAGTTCAGGAATTGAAAGCTATGGAATACAAACCTATAAAACAGTTAAAATTAAATGATCCTAATCTTCAACCTGGATTTAAAATGCTTATCAAAGGTCCAGTGGAGTGCAGAAAAGGAGTAATTTTATTAAAAGAAGAAAATGTATTTATTTTGGGTGGGAAAATTGAATCTTTAGCATTAACTAACAATTTAAAATCAATTTTAATAAAAAAATTAGAATTAAATGAGGAAGATTTTATAGAAATGAATTCTGATGTTAATAATGATAATATTCAAGTGTCAGACAATACTAATTTTAGTGAATTAAATAGTGAAAATGTTGAAACTCTTTTATCAGAAAATGATGACTTATTTTTTAATGTGCCTTTTGATGAAAAGGATGTGACAGAAAATAAAATATCAAATATTAATAATTTGAATAATGACAAAATTAATGAAAGTACTTCTGAAACTATGGATGTTTGCTTTACTTCAAATGACTCAAATATTTATACTAATCAAAATGTACATCCAACACAAAATATAGATGATGATGATGATGATATGTTAATCGATGAATATTTTGAACCTAAATTTAAAAAACATAATCTACCACAAGAAGATAAAATTGTGCCAAATCCTAAAAAAATATCTATAGCTAAATTTGATGACATGGATACAGTTTTTGAAGATATGAGAGAGGAAAAAAATTTAGAAAACAATTTATTTTTTGACAATGATTGGAAACAAGTTTTTTGTGATCAACAAAATCCTGAAAATTTTTCCAACAAATTTTCACAAAATAATTTACCGGATAGAAAGAAAAATGATTTTCTTAACAGTTCTTCTTCATTTGTTTCAATAAATCAACAAGTAGCAATAAATATGAATTCTTCAAAAATCAGTAATAAACCTTTTGTTTATTTAAAACATATTAAACAAATAAAATATCTAAATCACCCTTGCATTTTCACAATCAAAGCCATGATTCTAACCTTGAAAAAAAAAATAACATTAGAAAATGATAAATTTTCTTTGCAAGCAATCATCACAGATGGGTCAGAATGTTTAGATGTTACTTTTACTTCTAACATATTAGAAAATATTCTTAATTACAGTCCTTGTGAACTACAAGCTATGATGAAGGAGAAAGAACAAAACAGTGCAATAGGTTGTAAAATAAAAGAAATTTTTAAAAAAGCCCAGGAAAAATTTATATCATTAAATTGCCTTATGAAAATTAAATTTTTCCCAAATGAAAACCCCCCAATCGTTTTACATTTGGAAGATTTGACCCCATCACACCTCAATCAACTTAAAAATAGATTAGACATTTCTTAGTGATTATAATTCGGAAGTAGAATACAGTAAAATAAAGTTTCATATAAACTTTTTTATTAAAACTAATCAATGATCATTTTCAACGAATAAATCTTTAAAAATTATATTTTTATATAATTAAATATTTTATAAAAAATCAATTAAATTGATTATTAATTGTAGAACTAACTATCTATATTGTTATTAACACAAACGAAAAAAAAAAACTAAAAATTTAAGATTGTTATTATTTTAGTACATAAATGAAATTGTAATAATTTATATTAATTAAATTTATCCTCCTTTATTTATAAAATATTAAAATGTGATTCTGCTTTCAAAATTATGTCAGTTTTCATAAAATAAATAGATTACAAAAGTTGTTGATTACCATTTTATTTTATCTATTACAATCATTACTTAAAAGACTAAGGAATATAAATTTTAAAATTACACCATTCAAGACAATAAATAATGCCATTGTAATCCAATATTGTACTCAAAAATAATAATAATAATGATTAACAACCCCACTAATTTTTATTTCGAATTATAATTTATGAAATGACAAACAAGATGTTGATTTTTTTTTTTTTTTAAGCTTGATTCCAATATCTTTTTTATTTATCAAACACCATCCATTAATTTATAAATAATATATATATATAAAATATTTTATTAGATTAATAATTTTTTATCAAGTTAAAAATGTAAAAATAATAAATTTTTAAAAATAATTTGAATAAAAAAAAATTAGACGAATAAGATGCTTTTTAAAAGCATTTGTAAAAATTGTAATTAAAAATATTTTACTGCCCATTAAAAATAAATAAATAAAAACTTTAAGCTATTAATAATAATAAAGTATAGCTTTGAATATTTTTTCTGATTCCTTTTACTCCTTTTTTTTTTTTTTTTTAAAACATCAAGCAATTGATAAAAATATAAATATTTACAGTGATTAATTATTAATGTTATTAATAAAATCAGTAAAAAAAGATACCCATATGTAATAGTTAACGAATAGTTTTTCTACATACGTACTTTTAAAGTAAAAAAAAAAAATAAAAAAAAAATTTTTTTTTTTTCAAATTAATCTTTTTTTAAATCTTTTGTTTTACTGACAAATCTCGGGCTTTGAGGTAAAGTTAATTTTTCTGGATCGGCTTTGTATATTTCAAATGCTTTGTAACGAGGCATTGGTTTCGCTTTGAATTCTGCTTTTTTACGTTCTTCAAGAGCTCGTTCTTTTTCAAGTCTTTCCTCTTCTTCTTTTTGCTGAGTGATAAAATTCGATTAATTAATTGTTAAGAATATTTTTTTTCTCTCTCTCCGAATTTTATTAAAAAAATATTTTTATTTACCAATTTCAAAGCTAAATTTAGTTCCTCTTCTTTTTGTTTAATTTTTTCATCGAATTTTAAACGTTCTACTGCTCTTTTTTCGGTGCTTAAGTGAAAATCTGAAGTTACAATCATGTCATGTTTTTGTAATTTCGGCACGAATGGTTTTTGATGAACAACCGTAGCTGGTTTTGCTTTAAACGGAGTAATTTTTTGCTTTCGAACACAAAAATACAAAATTAAAATATTCAATTTATATAACTAAAAATTTATAAAAATTAATAACTCTTACTGTGGTAGGAGGTCGTTGATCTGGCGTTCCCTTATCAAACTTTCTCTGAGTTAAATGAAAAGGTTGAGGGGTTGTTGTGTGACATTTTTCCGTCTTGAACTTTCCATCGCATTTATTTTTAAAAGCTGGCATTGGATGCGCTTTAAAGGAATTAAATCCTTTCTTTTCTTCTTCTAATACCTTGAATTAAAATTATAATTTACAAATACAGTAAAATCAATAATAAATTATTGATATTGTTGTTTTTTTTTTTTTTTTTTTAAAATCTTATTTTACCTTATTTATAAAATTTTGTTTCTTTTGCAGCATTTCTTTCATTCTTTCATCAAAACTGAAAGGTTGTACGACAGTTTTTCGAGGTACATTTGATCCGTCTACTTCTGGAGTTTTTACCTAAATTTCATAAATTTGTGTATTATAATTTAAATAATATTATTATAAGATTTGAAATTTATAAAGTAGGCTACTTACGGGTGTTTTTATTCCAACTCGATATCTATGAGGAACACGAATTTGGGGGGTTGTAGGTACAGTTGGAGCAGTGATTTTTTTCGGTGGAATTCCAATTGGACCTTGTAAAATTGAAAATGGCAATGGTTGTGCTTTGAATTGAAACACCGTTTCTTCTGAATGCTCCTATATTAAAAAATTAAATCAAATTATTTTGTTTTACTTAAAAAAATTAAATAGTTTTCATTATGACTCATGTTAAAAAAACTTACTTTTTTCTTAACTTCGGTTAGTGAAAAAGGTTGTGGAACTGTAGTTGGTTTTTTTATAATAGGAACTTTTAAATTAAGCGAAGGTCCCATTAGAATTTTTTCATTTAAAGGATGAGCTTTAACTTGATGCCTGAAAAAAAAAATTACAAAAAATATTAATTCAACACAATATTGATGAAAATAGTTTGAAAATGTAAACTCAATACTTTTTCATTTCTTCAAGTTCCATTTCTTCTCTTTGTTTTTCGTCTGGAAAATTTATTTTTCTTTGCCGAAATTTTGCTAGTAGTTTTGGAGTTTTCGGTATGGAAGCTTGTGATTTTACAGACCATGTTGGCACAGCTTTATAAAAGTAAAAATTAAAAAATTTGATTGTTTTTAAAAATTTTTAAAAGCACAAAATTATGTTTTAATTAAATATCTTTAGTTAAAATTTAGTTTAGCAAATATTTTTCAAAATTATCAGATCATAAATACATAAATATAAATTTTTAATTTTCTTTAAGTAAAATTATAAGTAAAACATACAAAAAACTCTATTGAATATCTTACTTGGTTTTTTATTTGGTCGCGATCGAAATCTATCTGGTGTATCATAAAAATGTTCTACTTGTTCTGCTAAAGATATAAATTTTTTTGTCGATGCAAGAGGTGAAGCTGCTCTTTTCATTTTATTAAAATTCACAGCTTTAGGTATTTTATGTATTACCTTTTTATTGGAAGCAGAAGGATTGGTATCCTAAAACATGTATGTATAATTAATTACATAAATAATTTATTAAAAAATAACTCGAATAATTTAACAATTTACCTTGGTATTTGTTACGTTTATTTCGCTACTGGGAGAATCACTATCTAGTCTATTGTTTATTACATCTAACCTTGTAATCATATGATGTGATTTCCTTCCACTTTTTAACAGTTTAGAAGTTTTCTTTTCTGATTTAGGTTCTATAGATGTGACTTCACTGACATGCAAATTTTCAAACTTTCTAAAATTTAAATGTAATGTAAATTTATAAATGTGTTAGTAACCAGTTATGTATTTGTAACTGTTATTTTATCAGATAGAAAAGCATATTAAAACAACAAAATTAAATAATTTAAAATAATTACTGCAATAATTCTTTTCCAATTTTTTTAGAAGGAGTTTCTATTTGTTCATGTCCATCCGTTTGAATTTGATGATTAACAATCTCGTGTAAAACTTTTCGAAGAACTGGCACACTTTTTTTTACACTACTCTCTTTTTTTAATGATTTATTTTCTATAGTAGACAAGTTATTTTCTAAAATGTAAAATATGAATTTTTAAATAAAAAGTATTTTTAAAAATTATTTTCCCAAGTTAGGTTGTTTATAATTTTTAAAACTAATAAATATTTGAATATTTGTACAAGAGTCAAAAAACATAAAATCAATCATTGTATGATATCAATGCCACAAATTGTCACGTTATAACTTGTTTAAAGTAATTTCAAGAATTCAGCTATGTGTATAATAGCAGCAGAAATCTTATCCCAACTTAAATTTTAATTTGAAAATTAGACTAAATAAGAAATAAAAAGAAAGTTTACTTTACGCCATATAATTATTGTTTATTTCAATGGGGAATCTTCTTAAACTAAAAAACCTAATTTTTCTAAAATATTTATGTGATTTAATGAAATAAAAATTAATTCCCGCCATGGTCAATGTATACAACAAATTAATAACAAGAGTCAATTTGTTCAGGTTTAAACACACACAAATATTTGCTTATTAGTAATCATTTGAAGTTCAGCACTACCTACCAAAAAAACTATCTCCTTCTGGATCATCTAAGTTTGAAAAATTTACAAATTGAGGAGCGTTAAATTCAAAATTTTTGGACATTTTACCCAAATTCTTATAAGACGCTTATACTTTGATAAAATTGACCGTTATAAAACCGTTTAAGCGGGGAATTAGAAAAATGATTAAATTAAAAAAAATTTTTAAAACATCTATTTACACGTTTTCATACATGATTTCATTATTTCATTTCATAATTTTTACCGAATTACAATGGTAAAATTTCATTTAGGATTAGATCATTTAATCATTGTTTTACATAAAGAATTTTTAATATTTACTAATAAGACACAGGAAAATACATGGAAATTTCTACAAAAAGTTGATTGTGCAGTTAACTTTAAAACTTCCAGTGAATCATGTATTGATTGTTGTGAGTTTTCACCATGTGGAAAGTATTTTGGAGTTAGCTTTGATAAAAACATTTTAATTTACAACACTTTTGAATGGAATTTATTACATATTGCTTTGGGTGAAAGAAAAGCTTCTTGTTTATGCTTTTTTCCTAAATCGAATATAATTTTATTAGGAAACAAAACTGGATTCACTACTTTTTATTCTTTTGAAGGCAAGGAACTTAGTAAAGTAAATTCATCTCTTGGCCACAATTCTATGCTAACCAGTGCCTTAATAACGGATAATGAAAAATATATAATTACGTCCGACAGAGATGAAAAAATAAGAATTACTAATTATCCCAATACTTATAATATTGAAAGGTTCTGCTTAGGCCATAAACAATTTGTGTGTTGGTTAGGATTTCTTCCTAGTAATAAAGAAGTTTTGATTTCATGCTCAGGAGATGGAACAATAAAGTTTTGGAATTATTTAAATGGAAGTGAACTTGCCGAGTATGACTGTAAATCTGAAATTAATTGTAAAAAAAACAATGAAGACAATAAAGTAGTTATAGTAAAAGTAGCATGTTGTGAACTTAAATCAGAGTCAATTTTAGCAGTTGTTGAGTACAAATCTAATAAAGTGAGAATTTTAAAGGTTAAAAGTGATTCCACAAATAATCTAGTTATAGAATTTGTTGACAATTTGGTATTACCATGTGTTCCATGGGATATTGTATTTTGTAATCAATGTTTAATTTGTTTAGTGCCTAATAAAAGTCAACCTTTATCATTATGGTCAAAAGATGGTGACAATTTTAAAAATGAACAATTTCAAAATATAAACCAATATTTAATTGATAATTTTGATTATGTTATTAATCAAAATAAACAAATAACTGATGTGATACCTATTTTATTCAAAAGAGACATTGATAATGTTCAGGAGTATCAAAAAAGAAAAAAAGCCAGATTATTAAGAACAGGAAAAACTGCCTAATAATAATTTTTAATAATATATTTTTTATAAATATTTTTAATTTTAAAAAAAATGTAATAAGCAAAATGTATTAATTGTTATACCTTATTTTATTTCTTTAATAAAAATAAAAATAGAAAAAAACCAAAGTAAACTCAAACTGGTTTGTAATCAAGCTTAGATTCCAACTTTTTATTATCTGCAATTTTCCTAACTGCTTTCATGAAATCCTCTTGTTGCACAAACTCTTTGTCTGATCTAATAGCAAAAAGTCCTGCTTCTGTGCAAACATTTCTAAGATCTGCTCCATTAAAACCATCTGACAATTTGACTATTGCCTCATAATCTAAAGCAAAAAAATTTATTTAATACCTAAGATAAAAGTAAAAAAATTTTTTTTTTAAAAATGTAAATATTAATTACCAATTTCGCCATGTTTAGTAATGGGCATTGCATGAATTTTCAGAATTTCTAATCGAGCTTGTTCATTTGGAAGTGGAATTTCAATTTTACGATCCAAACGACCTGGTCTCAGTAAAGCAGGATCCAGAGTATCTGGTCTATTTGTTGCCATAATAATTTTCACCTATAATTTTTTATTATTATTTTTTTTATGAGCCAATAAAATATTTTTTGATAAATTGAAAATTTAATTGTTTTAATAATTTAATATTCTTACTTGACCAAGAGAATCAAAACCATCCATTTGATTAAGAAGCTCCATGAGAGTTCTTTGAATTTCTCTGTCAGCAGAAGTACCCTCGGAAAACCTACGACCACCAATAGCATCAATTTCATCCATAAAAATTATACACGGCTGATGATCTCTTGCATAATTAAACATTTCTCTGATTAATCTTGCACTTTCTCCAATGTATTTATCAACTATTGCACTGGAGACAACCTAATGAAAAATAAATCTTTTTTGAAATCAAATTAAACAAAAAAGATTAGTTATAAAAATAATAATGACATACTTTTAAAAAATTAGCATCTAGTTGACTGGCTACAGCTCTAGCCAATAATGTTTTTCCTGTACCTGGTGGCCCATATAATAAGCAGCCTTTAGGAGGAGTGATCCCAACTCTCATAAATAATTCAGGATTCATAAGAGGCAGTTCAATAACCTTAATAATTTAAAAAAATATTGTTCTTATTAAACTCTGATCTGATTATAAAATTTATTATAATTGAAAAATTAAAACCTACCTCTCTAAGTTCTCTTATTTGTTCACTTAAACCACCAATTTCTGAGTACTTTACATCACCAGGATCTTCATGAGACATATTGTAAACTAAAGGATCAACTTCTCTAGGCAAATATCTCATTATAGTCAAAGTAGTCATATCTAAAGCAACTCTGGTACCAGACTTTAATTTTTGTTTATCTAATTGACGCCTACATCCAACAACATATCGTGGACCATTTGTAGCTTTAACAATAACTGAATAAAAAAAAATTTTAAATAAACAAAGGTTTTCAAAAAATTATTTGTAACATCTTCAATCCTTTAAACTAATTTTAGAAACGTATGAAAAAATGTAAAAAATTACTCACATTTTTCTTCTGTCAGCTGTTTAAGAACTTCTCCAACAATTTGACCAACGCTTTGTAAAGCTTTTAAATAATTTTCTGTCACATCATACTGCTTAGTCAGTGCTTTCAGCTGTTGCCTCACTACAAGAAATATATTACTTGTTTGAAATAATTATTTTATCAAAATTTATAAATTTTTATAGCAACCAAAAATTTTTAATTTGCTCAAAGATCGTATAAATGACCATAATATTAATAAATACAATGTAATATATGTAATAATAAATACAATGATATGTATATATATATATATATATATATATATATTAATATATATGCATATATTAATACATATATAATATATATTAATATATATACATAATATATATATTATATATATATATATATATATATATATATATATATATATATATATAATAGATATATTAAATATATTAATATATTTATATATTATATATTATATATTAAATATATTAATATATTACTATATTTAATTTTTATATATAAATATATAAAATATATTGTATATATTATATAATATATTATATTATTATATATTAATATTATAAAATATATAATATATATTAATATACAATGATATATATATTAATAAATACAATGTAATTGGTGTTATTTGAAAAAATAATTTGAAACAACAACGTATAATAATCAAATCTTTAGTGTTGAATCGGAAAATATGAAAAGAATATTTGTAAAATTAAAAAAGAAAATTATTTTAAAATATTAAACTTACTTTCTTTTAGCCGACTTTCCACATCCTTATGAGTAAGAAGTTTTTTCCTATATTCTTGTAATATCTTTTCTCTTGTATTTTGTGCTCCATCATTGGCCGCCATTATTGAAATAAATGATGTTTTAAATAATTTAAAGCAGTGCTACCAATCTAATTTTTTTTTCTAAAGACACGACAAAGTTACATTATTTTCGGTTACCAAGTTACCTTTACGAAATTTTAAACATTATCAAAAGTAAAAAACTATGAAAAAGAGAAGTGATAATGAATCTGAAGAAGAAGAAGATGACGATGACGAAATTTTAAATTTAAAGGTAAAATATTTTTTAAATAAAAGCATAATTTTAAAAATTGATGCGTAAGTTTTTAAATACTTTACGTGTTAATTTTTAAAAAACTTAATTAAATCTTTGATAACTTTATAATTAATGTATATATTTTTTAAAACTTTTATGAAATAATGTATTTAGCAGTTTTATTTTAAAATTAAGAATTTTATTATTTAACACCGTTTTTAAATTATAAATATAAAATTCTCTAACTTCTGACATTTTAGCGAGTGCCATCCCTCTATGATGATAGTGTAGAAGTAGTTGGAGCTGACGATGTTTTAAGCCCACCTTCCAGTGCACTTGGGCAAAATTCACTAAAAACCGAAAATACAGCAAATCAACCTAATTTAAGCAAGGTAATACACTAACACGACAATTACTTTTAATCTATTCTTTCAATAATTGTAATATTTGGAAAAAAAAAATTTTATGTAAATCTTTTAAAAATATATTGAATGCCTATAAATTATAGGATCAATCGATAAAAGGTAAAATTTGGAATAGCAATGAACCTGAAATCAGAGGTCATCAATTGGATGATTCTGACGAAGATGACGAGGAAGACGACGACGACGACGACTGATGATATAGAAGTACCTGTAATTCAAGGGTAATATTTACTGTTTAAAAGTATTATACTTTAAAATTTAAATAAAATTTTTAATTTTTTACAAAGAATTTTGCACATTATTTTTCAGTGGCTACGATCCGACTGAATATGAAAAATTAGCAGTGTCAGAAGAAATAAAAGGCATATTTAATTTTATTGCAATGTAAGTTTTGTAAAATTTTAAATTCGATTATAAATTCATTTTTGAATTCAAGTTTTGTGCAATAATGTGTAACTTCAATAAATGTTTAAAATTTTTCAAAATATATATAAGTAAATTCTACTTACTTTGTATACTTATTATACATTAATGACTTTGTTATTTTTCTTTGCAGTTACACGACACAAAATATTGAATTAGAATACAAACTTTGTCCTTTTTTACCAGATTTTATACCTGCAGTAGGAGATATAGATGCATTTATTAAGGTTTCACGACCGGATGGTGTGAGCGATGGTCTTGGGTTAAATGTCTTGGACGAACCAAGCCTTCAGCAAAGTGATCCAGCAGTTTTACAATTACAGCTACGAGCAGTAGATAAACAATTATCCGCAAAAGCTGTTGTGAGTTTTATTATCTTTATTACACATTAAAGTATATTTTTTAAAAATGTATCCTTTTACAATAATATAATAATAATATACAAAAATCATCATCTGAATAAGAATTTACAATGAACTATTATCATTGATATTATTTCGAATTATCTTTGGTATTATTTAAAATCAAAATCCCCATTTAATTTTTCATTGGCTTAATAATATAACATAAATTATTATTTTAAAACAGATAGTGAAAAAAATTGAAAATGCTGAAAAAAATTCAAAAGCTATCAAAAGATGGATAAAAGCCATTGGGGATTTACATAGTTCAAAGCCTTCACAAATAGTACAGTTTTCAAAGTAAGTTAAATAAAAAGTTAATTTTTGTTCACTTAAATTACACATGTATTAATTATAATGTAATTATACAAACTGTTTCCTGTACTTTGGTATATAGACCGATGCCTAACATTGATACTTTGATGCAAGAATGGCCGACAGAGTTTGAAGAAAAATTAAATGCTTTAATGATACCCAATCCTGAAATAGATTGTGATTTATCTACGTACGTTAATATTATTTGCAGTAAGTTATTATTACAAAATGTTTACTAACATTTAAGTTTCTGATAAGAAATGTTTATTCAATTCGAGTATGTTAATAATGAATACATATATGTTACAGATTTATTTGATATACCAGTGTACGAATCAAAAATTCAGTCTCTTCATACATTTTTTACTTTATATTCTACAATGAAAAAAACTCAAGTACAGTTAAATGAAGC